CTGCAGGAGGAAGGCAGAGGTGGGTACCCCCTACACGCCCCGCCCCAGGCGTTCCCAAGGGCAGCCCCGGGTCGTGGCCCGATGGCTGAGTCACAGGAGGAGGAGATACTGCAGTCACGGGAGACACAGAGCCCAAGACAAAGATCGGGTGACCCAATCCCGCCTCCCCCACCCCAAAACCAGATCGGCGGTGTAAGCCTGGTGGCGGTGGGGGAGCAAGGCTCTCTCTTCTCCGTGACGGGCGTGTCTCGTCTCCTTGGCCTTGCCTTGCTTTGGGAGGGGCCGCCTCACACCCCCACAGACCACGGGGCTGCATGTGACCAGGACTCTGGCACGGCCGCTGTGCCCCCGCCCAACCCCGGCGACATAGCCCCTCAAGCTCCCTCGGGAAAAGGGGGTACTAGCCGTCACTCACAGTCACAGACCACAATTACCCAGAGTGTGTTTGGTGGGCAGGGGTACAGGTGTGGTTTTAACGGGGGGGCGGGGGTGGGTGGGGACGGTGGTGTCGTTGTGCGCATGCGCATGGGCGCCTTATTGTTCCCCCCCTACCAGCACAGCTTCTGGGCGGCGGCCGCAACTAAAAAAGGTTGGGGAAGGGGCGATAATTCCGCCTCCCCTCCCCACATAAATGCCGTTCTCCAGGAGCCCCAGAACACAAGTTTCTTTGCTACGCTTTCCACGCTTGTGCACCCAGGTCCGCGCCAGTTTCTCCCGCCTTGCCACACCCCCGGCGCCCGCCCACTCGTGCCCCACTGCCCCGTGGCCTGCGCAGCCCTGTCCTGCCCTACGCAACCCGCTCACCTTGCGGTCGCTGACACCCTCGCCCACTGCGATCACGACGCCCGCGCCCTCCATGCCTGGAGTGACAGGCAGCGGCGGGAGCCTGTCGTACAGCCCCTGCCTGGCCATGAGGTCTGCGAAGTTGAGCCCGCAGGCCCGCACGCGCAGCGTCAGCTGGCCGGGCCCAGGGGCCGGAGGCGCGGCCGGCCGGCTCTGCAGCTTCACCTTGTCGTAGCCTCCAAAGCCAGTGAGCACCAGGCAGCGCAGCGGCGGCGGCGAAGCGGCGGCGGCGGCCCCTTCGGAGGCCGCGGGCTGCTGGGGGTCGCTCATTCTCTCGGTTTTCGCAGGCGGCGAAGAGGCGTCTTCCCCGGCCCCTGCCTCGGCGGCCGCCACCACAGTGGCCGCCTCGGCTACCTCTCTCTCGACCGACATGGCTGGGACTCCCGACGAGAGCGCACAGCTGGACTGAGAGTGCACAGCTGGGGAAGGCGGGGCGCGTCGGGAAGAGCCGCGGCTGCCGGATCCAGCGGGAGGGGCGGGGCGCCGGACGAGGCGGGGCCTCGCGCGTAGCCTTAAAGGGCCAGGGCCACAGTGGCGCAAGCTAGGAGAGCACGAAAACGGGCACCAGGAATGTCTGTGGTCTTGGGCTCAAGCAGACCGCGATTTATTTATTCATAGTAAACCTTATTCAAATTAAAAACTATTTTAAGGGATAGGCCTGGCGCGGTGGCTCACGCCTGTAATCCCAGCACTTTGGGAGGCCGAGGCGGGCAGATTACAAGGTCAGGAGATCATTGCGGGTGGATCATTTGAGGTCAGGAGTTCAAGACCAGCCTGGCGGACATGGTGAAACCCCCATCTTTACCAAAAATACAAAAATTAGCCGGGCGGTAGTGGCGCGCGCCTGTAATCCTAGCTATTCGAGAGGCTGAGGCAGGAGAATCGCTTGAGCCTGGGAAGCTGAGGTTACGGTGAGCCGAAATAGCGCCACTACACTCCAGTCTGGACAACAAAGTGAGACCCTGTCTCAAAAAAAAAAAAAAAGGCCAGGCGCCGTGGCTCACACCTGTAATCCCAGCATTTTGGGAGGCCGAGGCGGGTGGATCACCTGAAGTCAGGAGGAGTTCGAGACCAGCCTGACCAGTATGGCGAAACCCCGTCTCTACTAAAACTACAAAAATTAGCCAGGCATGATGGCAGGTGCCTATAGGGAGGCAGGTGCCTACTCGGGAGGCCGAGGCTGGAGAATTGCTTGAACCCGGGAGGCGGAGGTTGTAGTGAGCCAAGATCGTGTCACTGCACTCCACCTTGGGCGACAGAGGGAGACTCCATCTCAAAAAAAAAAAAAAAAAAAAAAGGCCGGGTGCGGTGGCTCACGCCTGTAATCCCAGCACTTTGGGAGGCCGAGGCAGGCAGATTACAAGGTCAGGAGATCGAGACCATCCTGGCTAACACAGTGAAACCCCGTCTCTACTAAAAAATACAAAAAATTAGCCGGCCGTGGTGGCAGACGCCAGGGGTCCCAGCTTCTTGGGAGGCTGAAGCAGGAGGAGAATGGCATGAACCTGGGAGGCGGAGCTTGCAGTGAGCTTAGATCCTGCTACTGCACTCCAGAGCCAGACTGTGTCTCAAAAAAAAAAAAAAAAAAAAAAAAGTTAAGGAGCAGTCCCAAAACTTGAACTTACATCAGATTTGGAGTTACTTACATGTAGACTGGAGTCCAGCTAAATTGTATCTCAGGCACTGACTGTACCTTTATGTAACCCAGGCAGGGATGAGACTTAATTCACTGTGGTCTTGCAGTGGCAAAGTAGAAGCATGGAGACCAAGCCTTTAAAACTTTCTGACTTTGGGGCCGGGCGCCGTGGCTCAAGCCTGTAATCCCAGCACTTTGGGAGGCCGAGACGGGCGGATAACGAGGTCAGGAGATCGAGACCATCCTGGCTAACACGGTGAAACCCCGTCTCCACTAAAAAATACAAAAAATTAGCCGGGCGAAGTAGTGGGCGCCTGTAGTCCCAGCTACTCGGGAGGCTGAGGCAGGAGAATGGCGTGAACCCGGGAGGCGGAGCTTGCAGTGAGCTGAGATCTGGCCACTGCACCACAGCCTGGGCGACAGAGCGAGACTCCGTCTCGGAAAAAGAAAAAAACAAAAAAAAACCTTTCTGACTTTGGTGTTAACGTTCTGTTCCTCATTCTCCCTTCTGTAACATAGTGATGATGCTGCGTGCTCTAGTTATATTTTTATTTTATTTTATTTTGATACAGGATCTCACTCTTTCACCCAGGCTGAGCAAGGTGGCGTGATCACAGCTTCCTATAGCCTCAAACTCCCGGGTTCAAGCAATCCTTTCACCTCAGCCTCCTGTATAGCTGGGACCACAGGCATGTGTCACTACGACCGGCTAATTTTATGTTTTACCGCTCTTTGCAGAGCAGGGCTACCCCATAGGCAGCGTGCCTAGAGTGGCCAAACCTAGCTAAGTTTTGATTTGTTTTTCTAGAGACAGGGTCTCGCTAATATTGCCCAGGATGGTCTCAAACTCCTGCATACAAGCAAGCCTTGGCCTCCCAAAGTGCTGAGATTACAGGCGTGAGCCACTGCGCCCAACTTCTAGTTATCTTTACACAATTATTTGCAACATATATTATTAACTCGAATTGCCTCGATATAAAAAATTACTTTTTTTTCCCGAAATTCTGTTGCCCAAGCTGGAGTGTAGTGAGGCAATCTCGGCTCACTGCCACCTCCACCTCCCAGTTTCAAGCGATTCTCCTGCCTCAGCCTCCCGAGTAGCTGGGACTACCGGCACGCGCCACCATGCCCGGCTAATTTTTGTATTTTTAGTAGAGACGGGGTTTCACCATGTTGGCCAGGCTGGTCTCAAATTCCTGACCTCAGGTATCCACCCGCCTCGGCCTCCCAAAGTGCTGGGATTACAGGCGTGAGCCACCCTGCCTGGCCAAAAAAGCACTTTTAAAAGGTAAAAAAAAAAAAAAAAAAAGTAAAAGGTGCCACGCAAATACGTATCAGTGGTTTGATTATTGTTAGACTCTTTTTTTTTTTTCCTTTTGAGACGGAGTCTCGCTCTGTCGCCCAGGCTGGGGTGCAGTGGCCTCTCAAAGTGCTGGGATTAGAGGCGTGAGCCACCGCGCCCGGTCTATTGTTAGACTCTTAATCAAGCCTGACTTTTGGGTTTAGCTCTGGCTCCAGCAGAGCAACTCTGGCAGTTAGTTCTTTCCTTTTTTTTTTTTTTTTTTTGAGATGGGGTCTGGCTCTGTCCTCAGGCTAGAATGCAGTGGCACGATCTCCGCTCACTGCAACCTCCGCTTCCCGACTTCAAGCGATTCTCCTGCCTCAGCTTCTGGTGCACGTCACCACACCCGGCTAATTTTTGTATTTTCAATAGAGACGGGGTTTCCCCATGTTGACCAGGATGGTCTCGATCTCCTGACCTCGTGATCAGGCCGCCTGGGCATCCCAAAGTGTTGGGATTACAGGCGTGAGCCACCGTGCCCGGCTGGTTCTTTCTCTTCCTAATCTCCTTCTCCCCAAGCATCCACCAGAGGACGCAGCTCCCCCAAAACTTTCCACCCAGTGCTTGGCTGGAGGAACTCAGTCCACGCTTCTCTGCTAGTCTAGGCCCGCGGTTAAGTCAATGCAACCCGAGACCCGGCTGCCCGTTGTCATGGGGACGGAAAGCTATGATGTCACCACCGTCCGGGTGGGTGTGCTGGGGTTCACCCTCCCATTTCCCCAAGACCCCCTGCCAGGACACGGGCGGAGGCGGGAGACAAAATCAAAAAGCCTGGCTCCTTCCCCTTAGCATCTCTCTCCCGCCGTGTTCAGGAAGTGGATGGCTGCCCCCGCTCTTGTCCGCACTGGTGCACCTGCGAGCACGCGTGGGTACACAGCACGGCCGAGCTTCGCGCGTGTGCCGCTCACATTAGTGTACCCCTAAGAACTTCGCTTGAACTCTGCCCTGCCCTTATCTCCGAGAAAGTCAAATAAGCCCGGTTCGGCCTGTCCCAAACCGGCAGGGGCACCTCAGCAACACTGGCGCGCTGGACCCCGGCTCTGGGTCCTCTGTTCCCAGGGCTCCGCCCAGATCTGCTGGGCCCCGCCCCCCGGCTGCGCGGGTGGGAGGCGGGGCCGGGGGGCGCGGCCGCCAGGCTGGAGGTGGGGCGGAGGGGGGGCCGCGGCCCCGGGGCGGGGGCTCGGCGCGGGCCCGCGAGATGCCGGTGTTGGCGGCCCGAGCGGCTGCAGCTGCAGCGGCGGGGGAGGCGGCGGCAGAGGCGGCGGCGGGGCCCGGGAGGGGGGTGGCGTGGGGGACCGGCGCGTAGCCGGGACCATGGAGGGGCAGAGCGGCCGCTGCAAGATCGTGGTGGTGGGAGACGCAGAGTGCGGCAAGACGGCGCTGCTGCAGGTGTTCGCCAAGGACGCCTATCCCGGGGTGAGAGACCTGCGTCTTGGGAGGGGGGCGCTAAGGCTGCTGCGGGATGGGTGACAGGGGCCCTGGGGACGGATGGGAACGGGTACTCGGGTAACCAGGGACAAGATACAGGGGCTCGGAGGATGGGGGGAGGCCTTGAGGGCTCGGGAAGGACTGCAGAGGATAGGGGTGGGAGGAATTAGAGAGCAGGGTGAGATGGATGGGGTTTGGGAGAACCAGAGCATCCGGGAGGGAGGGCGAGGGGAATGTCGGAGGTCCTGGGCAATGGAGAAGGGAAGAACTAGGGGGCTGAAGGGAACAGGAGGAGGTCTGGGAGCCTAGCAGAGATTCTGCGGGGGGGGGGGGGGGGGGGGCAGGAGCTCCCGGGATCTCCCCTTTGCCCAATCCCAGACCAACTTGTGTCCAGGGGCTGAGCTGGACGGGGTGTGGGAGTGAGGAGGGCATTTATCTGGGGTGAGGACTTGGAGAGAGGATCTCATCTGGATCCATCCGTGTCTGCAGAGTTATGTCCCCACCGTGTTTGAGAACTACACCGCGAGCTTTGAGATCGACAAGCGCCGCATTGAGCTCAACATGTGGGACACTTCAGGTAGCCAAGTCCCTGGGGGTCACCCTGACTTCCAAGGCGGCCCACTCTGTCCCCTCCCTTGGCTAGACCCTTAGGTTCCAGGTCAGCCCAGCCCATCCATCTAATTCCAACAGGAAGGAAAAATCAATTTTCTGCTTAAAGCTAGGGAAACTGAGGCAGAACTTGCTGATCCTGACAAACCATGTCCTAAAGGAGAAAGCCTAGGATCTGAGCCCTTCAGCTGGGTTCTGCCTACCTGGGAAAGTTGGGAAGGAATGGCTTTTAATTTGGAACATGTTTCTTCGGAGATAAGACTGAGTTTAGAAAAGACATTCAGAGGCTGGGTGCATTGGCTCACACCTATAATCCTAGTACTTTGGGAGGCCTGGGTGGGCAGATCACCTGAGGTCAGGAGTTTGAGACCAGCCTGGTCAACATGGTTGAAACCCCGTCTCTACTAAAAATGCAAACATTAGTTGGGCATGTGGCACGTGCCTGTAATCTCAGCTGCGGGGAGGCTGAGGCAAGAGAATCGCTGGAACCTGGGAGAGGGAGGCTGCAGTGAGCCGAGGTCATGCCACTGCATTCCAGCCGGAGCGAAAGAGCAAGACTCCGTCTCAAAAAATAAAAAAAGAGAAAAGACATTTAGAATGTCTTGAGTGAGGAGTGGTCAGGGGGCTGTTTCTCTCCACTGAACTAGAGAAATCTGAGGTCAAGTCCCAGGAGAATGGGAGAGTGCTTTCCTGCCACTGCTGTTTTCCTCCTCCCAACATAAGGAGGGTTTTTATTTATTTTTATTTATTTTTATTTTATTTTATTTTTGATACGGAGTCTTGCTCTGTCGCCCAGGCTGGAGTGCAATGGCTAGATCTCAACTCACTGCAAGCTCCGCTTCCCGGGTTTACGCCATTCTCCTGCCTCAGCCTCCCGAGTAGCTGGGACTACAGGTGCCCGCCACCACGCCTGGCTAGTGTTTTGTATTTTTTAGTAGAGACGGGCTTTCACCGTATTAGCCAGGATGGTCTCGATCTCCCGACCTTGTGATCCGCCTGTCTCGGCCTCCCAAAGTGCTGGGATTACAGGCTTGAGCCACTGCACCCGGCCGGGTTTTTATTTTTACAAGAGTTCCCTTTGGGGCTTTAGACTGCCAAAGCCCAGAAAGCACATGCAACATTTTATGAGAATGACTATAGATTTCATGAGCATCTCAAAGGGGTCCAAACCTTAGTCAAGAATAAAAATTATTACTTTTTAAACCCCTAGGGAAGCAGAGAGCCGTTTCCCACCATTTGACTCCCCTTCTGCCCACTGCCCCACTTGGGAAACCCAGACTCCATCATGGGTATTAATGATGGGTATTAGTGGTTGCTCTTTTCCATTCTCTGCTCCCAGCATCCCTTGACCAGGATCTGTAAGGTCTCCCATTCCCTTCCAGGCCTCCCATCCACTCAGGCCCCTCATGCTCTCTCTTCCTTCAGGTTCCTCTTACTATGATAATGTCCGGCCTCTGGCCTATCCTGATTCTGATGCTGTGCTCATCTGCTTCGACATTAGCCGACCAGAAACACTGGACAGTGTTCTCAAGAAGGTGGGAGCCTGGGGAAATAGGGCAGCTAGACTGAGACGGACCAGCCACCATGGTCCTGACATAAAATGGGCCAGGAGGAGGGAGTGATAGCTGGGGTACGGCCGTCAGCTGGTTAGCGAGTGAAGCTCTCATTCCTGCCACCCCTGCCTCCAGCCCCCATCCCTCCCAGCCACCCGCTTCCTGAAAGTCCTCAGAGCTGGATACAGCAGCTAGGGGAGGTGGGGGAGTGAAGGGAGAAGCACTCACAGGATTCTTTCTCTGCTCTTCCAAGTCCTTGGCAGTGGGAGCCCCAGATGGAGGGGATGGGATGTGAAGGCTGATCCTGGAACTCAGGAAAGCCCTGTGGCCTCCTCTCCAGGCCCCAATTTCCATGAGAAAAGCCAGTGGTGAATGGACAGAAGTCAGCTAGGGCAGCCCCAGTTCCCAGGTGGGGGAGGGGAGGGTGGGATAAATTTGTTCCCAGGACACAGCATGGGAAAGGCGAGTGGGAATGGGAAGGTTCCAGGCTGGCAGACCCTTCATAGCCACTGAGGGAGAAGAGTCCGCAGGCCCATGCCAGCCCTCTCGTCCCCCCTACTTCTCTCTCACCCCATCCTGCTCTCAACCCAAGCCTAGCATTCTCACCTCTTCCTTGCGTGGGAGAGTTCCGAGGGATACATGGTTTCTGCATGCTGTGAGGAAGAGAGGGCGCACTGCTGGCATGGCGCAAAGGCTCACCCTGTGCTTCCCTCCACCGCTCCACAATTCTCTTTTCTTCTACATAGTGGCAAGGAGAGACTCAAGAGTTTTGCCCCAATGCCAAGGTTGTGCTGGTTGGCTGTAAACTGGACATGCGGACTGACCTGGCCACACTGAGGGAGCTGTCCAAGCAGAGGCTTATCCCTGTTACACATGAGCAGGTGGGACCCTTGACCTCTGACCTCATCCCAGCCTAGACCTGTCACCTCTGCACCTTCAGTCTCTGATTTGAAAACACCTTACCGGCCGGGCGCGGTGGCTCAAGCCTGTAATCCCAGCACTTTGGGAGGCCGAGACGGGTGGATCGCGAGGTCAGGAGATCGAGACCATCCTGGCTAACACGGTGAAACCCCGTCTCTACTGAAAAATACGAAAAACTAGCCGGGCGAGGTGGCGGGCGCCTGTAGTCCCAGTTACTCGGGAGGCTGAGGCAGGAGAATGGCGTGAACCTGGGAGGCGGAGCTTGCAGTGAGCTGAGATCCGGCCACTGCACTCCAGCCTGGGCGACAGAGCGAGACTCTGTCTCCAAAAAAAAAAAAAAAAAAAAAAGAAAACACCTTACCTGGCTCATCCTTTGTTCTGGCCTGTGACCTCTCACCTGATCCCTTGACTGTCCCCAGCCCTGACATTCAACCCCAGCCCGTAGCCTCCGTGCCCCTTTCTAAGCTGCAGGCTAAGACCTATAACTTTCTTCCATGCACTCCTTCCTTTTCCAGGGCACTGTGCTGGCCAAGCAGGTGGGGGCTGTGTCCTACGTTGAGTGCTCCTCCAGGTCTTCTGAGCGCAGCGTCAGGGATGTCTTCCATGTGGCCACAGTGGCCTCCCTTGGCCGTGGCCATAGGCAGCTGCGCCGAACTGACTCACGCCGGGGAATGCAGCGATCCACTCAGCTGTCAGGACGGCCAGACCGGGGGAATGAGGGCGAGATACACAAGGATCGAGCCAAGAGCTGCAACCTCATGTGAGGGGCTAGGAGAGGGCAGAGTGTGAAGAGGGGTGGTGAGGGACACAATTGTTCCCCTGCCTGCGCCCAGGCTTTCTGACCTCCTGAGCCTGGCTGGGAAGTCAGGGCAGGCAGAGCAGGCAATTCTTCTGGGCAGGGGAGCTGGAGGGCAGAAGGATATCATCATTTCTCATCTCCTCCTCCCTCCTCTTCTCCAGTGGATATTGAGGGAGCTAACAGGGCTGGCATCTGGGGCATGAACTGAGATGGGGCAGGTGGGGATTAGGGAAGCTGATATCAAATAGTGACCTTGGTGGAGTCTCCTATGTGAAGAGTACCCTCTGTCTCCACCCCCAGTCCCCATATCCTGGTTCTGGCCCAAGGAAAATGTCCATTCTACGACCTTCTCTTTTCCTCTCCTCTCACTTCTGCAGCTATTCTCACACACCTAACCTCTAGGCAACATGCACTAAATTCAAAAGCAAGGAGAAGCCCTTCCCCCACCATCAGTCCACCAGCCCTAGAACCTCCCTTGCCTCTACAGTCACCCAATAAAGCCCAAGTCCATGGAAAACGGCTGTGGCTTTAGTTTTGTTGCTTTTTAAAAAAATCAATCTACCAATCTCTAGCAGTAAGAGGGAAAGTTAGACCTCAGCCGGGGAACTTTCCATGTCCGCAGATAGAACAGAGGACAAAGCCATAGGTTGGATCAGAAGTGTCCTTTTAGGAGTCAGAGTTGGGAGAAGGAGACATCCTGGGACTGTTCATCCCAGTTAATAAAGTGGGCAATTCTCAGGCCATTAGGGGATTTTAGAGCAGACTGACATGCAATTAGTCAGCATTTCTCAGCCCAGCCAAGCCTGCTGCTAGTGTGGGAGGGGTCCTGCTCACCATCTGTACCCCTGGCTTGGAGTCTGCTGGTGCCCTAGGGGTTGTGGGGGTGAGGAGGCGTCAAAAACCTCCACATCACAGAAGCTACCCCTATACAGCGTGAAGTTTCCTAAGGGGTCAGTAGTTTGATTCCGGGGTCTTCTTAGAGGCTCAGGCCAGGGACCTTTCTCTCCTTCCATGCTGAGTTCCTTGATGACTTTCAGGGAAGCATCAGCTGTTAGAGTTACCCCTACCCTGTCCCTTCAAGGAAAGATGGTGGAAAGGACGGCCGAGCGCCTGTTGTCAGGAAAGACAGTGCTGGTCTGTTTTCTCGGGAGTCTGGTTTCAGATTGTCCTGTATTCCCTCCCTGGCTCTGGTCCCACTGGCCTCTTTTCGGTGACATTCTCCCCCAGGAACCATCCCTGGCCCTTCCCTCCCCCAGCCCCAGCCCTAGCCAGTTCTCCCAGACACACTGGAAGAGAACACTGACCTTACCCAACTGTCTGCTGGGATCCCACCCAAATTTATAGCCCATTCCTCCCTCTTCATTCATCAGCAAGTATGTATTGAACACCAACTGTGTGCCATACACTGGCTTGGGAGATTGCAAGGACCAGTCTCTAAGCTTCTGGAGGCCAACCCAGTGTAGAAGAGAGGTACCCCAGGTGTGAGGGTGCCATGACTGAGGGATATTTGTACATGTACAGGGTGCTATGGGAGCTCCTTGCAGCCTGAGAAGCCAGTCCTGTTAGCCAGGTCCTGAGGGTTGAAGAGGAGTTTGCCAGGCAGGGAAGGGGTAGGAAAGGCACTCTGGGCAGAGCGTACAGCATGTGTAAACACGTGGAGATGAGAATGAGCATAGCACTGTTGGGGCTCCCATGGCAGGGAGAATAGAAGACAAGGCTAGGAAGGTACCCTGAGGCTACTGCAGGGTCCACAGAGGAACCAGGATTTCATTCTGAGGATGAATGAAATCATCCTCAGAGGATGAAGCCACCAGGAATTTCAGGCAGAGAGTGAAGTGATCAGAGTTGTTTTTTGGATAGATGGTTATCTGGATGAGGTATTTGGGGCTGGGAGATTTGGCTCTGAGATGTGTCATTTAAAATAGCTTGTCAGCAGTGACTCACACCTATAATCCCAGCCAAGATTCCTCCTTTGGGAGGCCAAGCTGGGAGGATCGCTTGAGGCCAGGAGTTCGAGACTGCAGTGAGCTATGATCATGCCATTGTCTTCCAGCCTGAGTGTCAGAGTGAGACCCTGTCTCTAAAAATAAAAATTAAAAAATGAAAAATAAAAAATAGCTTCTCGGCCGGGCGCGGTGGCTCAAGCCTGTAATCCCAGCACTTTGGGAGGCCGAGACGGGCGGATCACGAGGTCAGGAGATCGAGACCATCCTGGCTAACATGGTGAAACCCCGTCTCTACTAAAAAATACAAAAAACTAGCCGGGCGAGGTGGTGGGCGCCTGTAGTCCCAGCTACTTGGGAGGCTGAGGCAGGAGAATGGCGTGAACCCGGGAGGTGGAGCTTGCAGTGAGCTGAGATCCGGCCACTGCGCTCCAGCCTGGGCGACAGAGCGAGACTCTGTCTCAAAAAAAAAAAAAAAAAAAAAAAAAAAATAGCTTCTCTTTTCCCTTATGCCAGGTTCCAGTATTGAGAGACAAGAACTTCCCAGCCACCACTCCCTGGCTCATCAGATACCCTATCCCAACCTCTCCTATGGGACTAGTTCATCTCAGCCCGTCTCAAAGATTCTAGGATAACTTCAATGGCATTTGAAATTATCTAAGTGCCCCTCAAACTGAGACCTGGTTAGGGACTGACTCAAGGACCCTGAGTCCTCAGCTGAGGGTACAGGAGAAGGCAGGGGCTCCAGGCCCAGCTAGGTACATCTCCATCTGTCTTTGAGGACTGACCCTTTCCCCACAAGGACCTGCCATAAAAATTGACTTGTGATTTTTAGCTGAGTGGCTTCTCTTTTCCACTTTGGACTTCTCAGTGCATAGCAGGTTCAAGCCTGCAATCACCAAAGTGTAGAATGTGGAGTGTTTGTGCCCCCTCTTTCCTCTAACCTCCATCTCCTGCCATGTGAGCTCAGGGAATGCAAACATAATTAGAAAGATCAATCAGCTGGAGGAACCCCCAAAGTTTAATACCTTTTTAATACTACCAGGAATGGATTTTTGGTCCCCTTCTGCAGGTCTGGATTGCCAGATGTTTTGTTTCTGGGGAGGAGGGCTCTGGGCTGAGCAGCTCAGTGGGCGGGGAGGAGGGAATGGGACTGTTCCTGATTCTCAAAGGCCTCTGTAGGCTGAAGGGAGGGGACCTTACTCCCTTCCCCACCCCAGATGCAGGAGTCACTCAGCTTTCTTCTCTGCAGCTGTTTCCCTCATAAACTAGACTGGTTTGGGAAACAATGTAGCCTCGTTAAACATTTAATGAAATAAACAACTAATCACACTGTGATGGCTGCCAGTGTTTCTGTTTTTTTTTTTTTTTTTTTCTTTTTTCTTTTTTTTTTGAGACAGAGTTTCGCTCTGTCATTCAGGCTGGAGTGCAGTGGCACCATCTCAGCTCACTGCAACTTCCGCTTACCAGGTTCAGGCGATTCTCCTGCCTCAGCCTCCTGAGTAGCTGGAACTACAGGTGCGTACCACCACACGCAGCTAATTTTAGGTTTTTTTTTTTTTTTTGAGATGGAGTTTCACTCTTATTGCCCAGGCTGGAGTGCACTGGCGTGATCTCGGCTCATGGCAACCTTGCCTCCCGCGTTCAAGCAATTCTTCTGCCTCAGCCTCCCAAAGTAGCTGGGATTACAGCCATGCGCCACCATGCCCGGCTAATTTTGTGTTTTTAGTAGAGACAGGGTTTCTCCATGTTGGTCAGGCTAGTCTTGAACTCCCGACCTCAGGTGATCCACCCGCCTTGGCCTCCCAAAGTGCTGGGATTATAGACGTGAGCCACCGTGCCCAGCCATTTTTGTATTTTCAGTAGAGACGGGGTTTCACCATATTGGCCAGGATGGTCTCGATCTCTTGACCTCAGGATCCACCTGCTTGAGTCTCCCAAAGTGCTGGGATTACAGGCGTGAGCCACTGCACCTGGCCTAATTTTTGTATTTTTAGTAGAGACGGGGTTTCACCATGTCGGCCAGGATGGTCTCAATCTCCTGACCTCGTGATCTGCCCTCCTCGGCCTCTCGAAGTGCTGGGATTACAGGCCTGAGCCACTGCGCCCCGCCCTGGTGTTTCTTAACCTAGGCAATAAGCCTGCCTGGGAGGGAGGAGGGGGAAGGACAGGGTGGATGGGAAGAGAGGACTCAATCAAACTCCTGAAACACTTCAGCTGACAAGGGTCCTCCCCTTGTGACTCTGGCCCTCCCAGGAGGGACAGTCATGGGAAGAGCTTCAGATTCGGAGGCAGAAGTCCTGGGGCTTGGGTTGAGCTCTGCTGCTTCTTCCCTGGGGAGTCTTTGGTGAGGCTCAGCACCTCCGTGAACCTCAGTTTTTGCACCTAGAAAAGGGGGCAGATCACTACATCTTCCTCATTGTGTTGCTGAGCTGATGTCAACTTTTTTTTTTTTTTTTTTTTTTTTGAGACGGAGTCTCGCTCTGTCGCCCGGGCTGGAGTGCAGTGGCCCCATCTCAGCTCACTGCAAGCTCCGCCTCCCGGGTTTACGCCATTCTCCTGCCTCAGCCTCCCGAGTAGCTGGGACTACAGGCGCCCGCCACCTCGCCCAGCTAGTTTTTTGCATTTTTTTTTTTTTTAGTAGAGACGGGGTTTCACCGTGTTAGCCAGGATGGTCTCGATCTCCTGACCTCGTGATCCGCCCGTCTCGGCCTCCCAAAGTGCTGGGATTACAGGTTTGAGCCACCGCGCCCGGCCTCAACTTTTATTCTTTACAACCAAGACACCAAGGCTTAAGTGCTTCTAAACTGGGCCTGAGGGAGTCGGGAAAGGCTTCTTAGAGGGGTATTTTGTGCTGGGATTGGAAGGCTGGAGGAAGACAGAAGACAGGAAGCAGGAGGTGGTTATGTCTTGTTCCCACACCTATCCTGGGCCTGAAGAGAGCTTTAGTGACTCCTCCAAAGATTGAGGTCCCTTGGTCTCCATTTTTCTGAACTCCTCTTATTACTTTTTCTGCAGTCTCTGGGTGAGGACTTCATGTTACCATAGTGACCCTCTCCCTGCTTCAGGTGCACTCAGACTTGTCCTGCAGGCTGAGGAAGGTGTGGGGGAAGGGGTCATGTCCCTGAGATGCCCAGTGGGGCAGGCACTCTTGGCACAGCTCTCTCCCCCGACTCCACATTCTCTTCCCCAGGAAAGGGTTTAGCGTTTTGTTCTCAGTTTGTTCTACACAAGGCAGCTCCTCTTCTGCTTCCTTCCTTCCAGCCGGGTTCTCAGATCTCCCTCCATCTCTGTCTGGTCAATCCCTTACTTGCTGCCCTCAAGGCTGTGAGTGAGGGTCAGAGAGTGGGGAGGCTCCAGGTCAGGAGGTGTGGGATGATTCCTGAGTAGCTACCCCCTAGCAGCCGAGAGACAAGAGAGCCATGTACACTAGTGCCCCTCCCCACAAGAAAATGCCTCTGCTGTTGACTCCTAAATAACAGATGTCTGTCTGCATATTAATGAGACTGGACGAATAATTGGTGAGTTTTTCATTCAGTGTCAGAATGAACCGGGAGGCCTTATGTTCATGCACACAGACACCCACTCACCCCTGACTCTCCCCTTCCCCCACAGCACAATGAAACAGACACAGAGGCCGGCAGGCTTGACCCATGAAGGGGAGGGGCAGACGGGGAACCACCGGGAGGGGTGTTAGGGAGGGGTGTTAGTGGGAGGGAGACCCCCATGGTTGGTCTGGGTTGGTCAGGTTTCTCTCTTGATCACTGCCTCCCCATCTCCCCGGGGGCAAAAGCTTGCATTTGTGAGATTTTGCCACCCTGCAGAAGGGGCTCAGAGGAGGAGGGGGCTCTGGGGAGAGGCAGTTGCTGCCTAGAGAAGAGCAACAAAACAGTGGTCTCCTTCAGCGACTTTGTGCCTCACTTGAGTCTGGAATCAATGAGCCCCTTACCCTGCGTTAGACCCTGTGCCAGGGTGTGAGATGGAAGAACAGAGGTTTTGGAGTCAGGTAACTACAATTTGCTAGCTGGGTGCCCTTGCACAAGTTACTTAACCTCTCTGTGCCTCACCCTTTTTGTCTCTAAGAACACCCACCTTGCCAGATTGAAAGGATGAAATGAGATAAAGTGTGTTATGTGTCTGTCTTAGTGCCTGGTTTATAATAGGCCCCAACACATATTTTTGTCTCCCAACCTATCCCCAAAACAAACCAAGACACTTGCTAAATTGCTGCGTCTCATGCCAGACCCACCTTTGTTAGGGAAGGGGTTAATTAGAAGTCTAGTAATTGTCCTAGCTGCCTGGAAACCAAGAGGAAAAGATACAGAGAGGAATAGAAACAGAGAAAAAGAAATAGACACAGGAGACAGAATGATGGAAACAAAGGCCCCAGGAACAGGAGACCAGAGATGGGAATGGGAACATGGAGAAGGTATTGTGGGCAAACGAAGTGACCCCTCGAATGACAGTTTAGAATCCAGGCCCGGTGCAGTGGCTCACACCTGTTATCCCAGCTATTCAGGAGGCTGAGGTGGGAGGATCATTTGAACCCAGGAGTTTGAGACCAGCCTGGGCAACATAGGGAAACACTGTTTCTAGAAAAAATAAAAGAAATAAAAATTAGATAAGCGTGGTGGCACATACTTATAGTCCTAGCTACTCAAGAGGCTGCGGTGGGTGGATCACTTGAACCAGGAGTTCGAAGCTGTAGTAAGCAGTGATCACACCACTGCACTCCAACCTGGGTGACAGAGTGGAACCCCATCTCAAAAAAACCAAACCAAAACAAAACAAAACAACAGTCCCAGTGCTGTGGCTCACACCTGTAATCCTAGCACTTTGGGAGGCCAAGGCTGGAGGATCACTTGAGCCCAGAAGTTTGAGACCAATGTGGGCAACACAGTGAGACCTTGTCTCTATAAAATATTAGCCAGGTGTGGTGGCCCACAGAAAGTTGAGGTGGGGGGATCACTTGAGGCTGGGAGGTAGAGGTTGCAGTGAGCTGAGATTGTGCCACTGTACTACTTCAGCCTGCATGACTGAGCGAGACCTTGTCTCAAAGAAAAAGGATCCAGAGGTTAGAGTCTAAAATGCTTAGGTTTGCCATGTTCTTGCTGTTTGACCACAGCAAGTCTCACCCCCTCTCG